ACATCAAGCTCCACCATGCTTTAAATTTGGGTTAAAATAAAGGCTGCATATCACAGAGTGAGGAGGGTAAAGCAAAAATATTCAGGACTTTTAACACATTAAGTAATCAGTCACTGCCCGGGAAGGGATGCCTTGCCCTCCCTCCTCCCCTCTTCAGGGCTAATGCTCATGTTTTCTCAGTGAAAGCTTAAGTATTTCCTCTGTTTCTCAGCTGGATGAGCTCCAGGCCAGATCAATGCCTGGTCCCAGCTCAGAGCAGCGGCAAAATTCCTCATGCTGGGAGCAGCAAAGCAGCAGGACCAGGCAGGTGAGCTGGAAGGACCACCTCCTTAGGTGGACGCAGAGGTGTGGACTGGTTTAACGGGAACCAGGGATCTGCAGGCAACGCCTGTTTGCTGGGGCTTTTTGCATTCTGTTTTTCTCACAAGCAAAAGATAACGTAGAACAGAAGACAAAAATGCTCAAGGTATCCCCGGCCTTGGTAAGGCTTACAGCCAACCTCACTCACTTTAGGTGGACTCAGAGCTAGTTCTCCTGAGAACACGAGTTAGTTTACATATGCCCCCAGCACACGGCGAGACTCACTGGAGGATGACAGGAAAAAAGCGCCTTTTTTCACTTTTGACCCGTGTTTTCACACAGACCCCAGTTGTGCCGATACGATCTCGTGCTGACAGAGAACACCCAGAGAACCTTCAAGCCCATCCCGTGCTGAAGCAGGAGCCGAGCTCCGAGGACGCCGTGTCTGGGCGGGGCAGGGACATTTCACAGCCGTGCGGGGACTCACCTGGCGGTCCCGGGGCGCCTCCCGGGCGGACCGGGCAGCGGGACCTGCTCTCCACGCAGGGCGTACAAAGGGGCTTTGGAAGCGACAATAAAACACAGCTGGGTTTAAAGCGCGTGTTTAAAGACTGTGCCCGCACTGAGCCGGCTCTGAGCTCAGCATGGTCCCTCCGAACCCCCACGTATCCCCACAGGGCAACCCCTCCCACCATCCCCGCCCTCAGCATATCCCCGCCCTCAGGGGTGTCCCCTCCCGCCATCCCCGCCCTCAGGGGTGTCCCCGCCCCGCGCCTGCGCGCCCCGCTCGGGGCTGTGAGGGCCGGCAGGGCTGAGCTGGAGCGGCGGTAGAGGCGGCTTCGACCCGGGATGTGGCGGCGCCCGGCCGGGCTCCTGCTCGTCTTCGCGGCCGCCACGGCCGCGCTGTGGCTGCTGTCGGTGCAGCTGAGCGCGGGGCAGACGCGCAGGTGGGTGCCGGGGGCCGGGGCTGCCCCTGTGTCCCTCTGTCCCCCGACTGCCCGTGTTTCTCCCCCCTCAGGGCGCTGCGGTTCCCGGCGGACCTGGAGGAGCTGCGGGATCTGGCCGAGGCGCTGCGGGACTACGAGCGGCAGCACCGGGGCGCGGCGCTGGCGCTGTTCTGCGGCGCTTACCTGTACAAGCAGAGCTTCGCCATCCCCGGCTCCAGCCTCCTGGTACGGGCACGGGGGGCAAAGGGCGAGGCCGGCGAGCCACGGCTCGGTCAGGAGGGGCCAGAGGGACCGGCCCGGCCCTGCAGCCGGGGAGGAATAACCCCCGGTACCAGCACAGGTTGGGGGCTGCCCTGCCGGAGAGCAGCTCTGCGGGGAAGGACCTGGGGAGTGTTGGTGGGTGACAAGCTGGCTGTGAGCCGGCAGCGTGCCCTGGGGGCCAGGAAGGGACAGTGGGATCCCGGGGGGAATCGGGAAGAGTGTAGCTGGCAGGTCGGGGAGCTCATCCTCGTCTTCTGCTCAGCCCTAGCGAGCCCTCCAGAGGGCACCTCTAGAGTGCTGTATCCTGTCTGGGCTCCTCAGGCCAAGAGAGACATGGAGCTACTGGAGAGGGTCTAGTGGAGGCCACAAAGATGATGAGGGGTCTGGACCATCTCTCTTTTGAGTGGAAACTGCAGGAGCTGGGCCTGTTTAGTCTGGAGAAGACTGAGAGGGGATCAGATATATAAATATCTCCAAGGTGGGTACCAAGAGGACAGTGCCAGGCTCTTTTCAGTGGTGCGCAGTGACAGGACAAGGAGCAATGGCCATAAAGTAAAGCACAAGAAGTTCCACCTTAACATGAAGCAGGAGGGTAGCAGAGCACTGAAACAGCTGCCCAGGGAGGGCACAGTCTCCCCCTCGGGAGACATTCCAAACCCACCTGGACACATTCCTGTGTAACCTGCTCCAGGTGACCCTGCCTTGGCAGAGGGGGTTGGACTGGATGATCTCCAGAGGTCCCTTCCAACTCTGACTATTCTGTGACACAGTTTCCCCTGGGCCCTGTTGTCCCCACAGAATGTCCTGGCTGGAGCTCTCTTCGGGCCGTGGACAGGGCTGGTGCTGTGCTCGGTCCTCACGTCAGTGGGAGCCACCCTGTGCTACCTGCTCTCTGCTGCCTTCGGCAAGCAGCTCATCGTCCACTACTTCCCTGAGAAAGTGGCTCTGCTGCAAGGGAAGGTAAGAACTGGTGCTTTTGCAGACACCCAGGCTGCTTTTGGGATGGCTTAGTAAAAACGAATGTGTGCAGGGGATGCATCAGGTCTGCTGAGGGCGCAGGCTGCTCTTTTGGGGCAAGCCTGTTTGCAGAGGGGCTGTGGGGAAAATCCCAGATCCCAAAGAAAATCGGAAGTAAGACAAAGGATTGATTGCGAAGTCCCTGTTCTCCAGAACTGCCTCTGCCCATCCTGTGCTGAGTTGTACAGCTGGAGGTGATTCTGTTATTGCCTTCCTGATCTCTCATTCAGGTGAGATCCTATTTCCATCACTTCCTTGGAAAGGGCTGGCTCACCCCTATGCTCCCAGACACACATAACACTGCTGCTTTTCATCAGCTCTGGACTGATGTGGCAGAAGTATTGTAGCCTTTCCAGTGTTACTGCTGTCTGAGGAGCAGAAATGACGTAGAATGTTTCTCTTGGCAGGTAGAAGAGAACAGGAGCTGCTTATTTTTCTTTTTGTTGTTCCTGAGGCTGTTCCCCATGACACCAAACTGGTTTCTGAACCTCTCGGCTCCCATTTTAAACATCCCCGTGTCCCAGTTCTTCTTGTCCGTCCTCATCGGTAAGGCCTGGGGACACAGTCCGACGGGACAGTGTGACACTGCTGCTCATCATCGCTGAGCCCAGGGAGGGCAGAGCAGCAGGACTCTGCCCCATTTAACCGTTTGCCTCTGTGCTGCCCTGAGGTCTCAGAGCATTTTGCAAATATGTGTGTTCCCAAATGCTGCAAATCTTCATTTACACCCTATTCATTCTGTTATAAGCACAGACCCTTGTGTCTGTATAACAGCCATAAACTAAACCACAGTGAGTTCCACCTCAACGTGAGAATGAACTTCTTTCTATGGAGGGCGGCAGAGCACTAGAATAGGGTGCTCAGGCAGGGTGTGGAGTCTCCCTCTCTGGAGACATTCCAAACCCACCTGGATGTCTTCCTGTGTCACATGCTTGAGGTGACCCTGCCTTGGAAGAGGGGGGGTTGGACTGGATGATCTCCAGAATTCCCTTCCAATCCCAACCATTCTGTGATTTTGTGTGTGGCCTTGGACATATTTGAGCTAATTTTCCTGGGGGGGGGATGCTAACAGCTTTTTTCTGCTCTGATTCTTTCAGGCCTTACACCCTATAATTTCATCTGTGTGCAGACAGGGGCCATTCTGTCCCAGATCACCTCTCTGGATGCCATTTTCTCCTGGGACACGCTTCTCAAACTGCTGGCAATGGCCATGGTAGCGCTGATACCAGGGACCCTCATCAAGAGATACAGCAAGAAGCACCTGAAGCTGGATGGGGACAAGAAGACTCAGACACTCAATGGCAAAAAGAGCTTGTGATGGTTCAGGTGCCCCAGTGCTGGGGTAAAAGCTGCAGGTCTCTGCAGGGGGTTATATTCTGCATGCTCTGTGCCACCAAGGACAGTGGCAGTTTTTAATTGTCCTCCTCATCTCAGAGGAGTTGTAAGATTCTTATTTTTAATGAATGTTTACCTGTGCATGTATCTGCACGGAGAGAGCGATACAGGGGCTTTGTGAACAGTTGGTTAATGTGCCTGTTTCGTTTAAATCATCCCCTGTGTGCCTGAGGGGGTGCCCAGCCCACTGCCATGGGGACAAAAGGAGTGCTGGCATTCTGTGAGGAAGGCAAACCAGAACCCCTTAATCCTGCCCAGCACGGGGGCCAAGCACTGCCCTGGAGGCAGGAGGCAGGCCCTGCTCCATCCAAGCCCAGACTGATTTAGTATTTTTTGCCTAAAACGACAGATGGTGCTGTTGGGTGCAGTAGCACAAGGCCCAAGGTGATAAAATAATGGTGTTTCAAGGTGCAGCTGTTGAAGACTATTCTTTGATTCCAGTGTTAAACCAGCACACCCTGCAACAAAATGCTCAGGATTTGGGCTGCCTGTGTGTACCAGTCATGTCAGAACACACAAGATTGCTTCCGCAGTCTGTCAGTGGCTGCTGCTCCCCATAAAGACTAAAGGGAAAAACAACAGGAATGGGTGTGCCTGGCTGACAGGGATTTGTCCTTGAGAAGCACTTTGAAACCTACATATTTGCTCCTGTATAACTAGAAGGTTTCCAAATAAACAAGTGGGTTCTTGTCCCCGTTGCTGGAGAACATAGAATCCAGGATGGTTTGGGGTGGAGGGGATCTTAAAGATTATCTCATTCCACCTCCTGCCATGGGCAGGGACACCTTCCACTAGCCCAGGTTGCTCCAAGCCCCGTCCAACCTGGCCTCAGACACTTCCAGGGGTGGGGCAGCTACAACTTCTCTGGGCAACCTGGGCCAGGCCCTCATCCCCCAGGGATTATACTCTGGTCTTGGGGTTTTGGTATTTGCACCTCCTTGTGCTGCTCTCCCTGAGTTTGCCCTCCTCTTGGAGGATAAAGTGACCTTCCTGCTGTGGAAGGGGACAGATGGGAGACCCCAGACATTATCCCAAAGTCCATAAGAACGCGTTCCCAGATCACCAGACCAGCCCGCAGCATTGAAGTACACTGGCTTTTTATTCCATGCATTGTTTGCTTTGATAGTCATTCTTGTTTCCATCACTGTACACTGGTCAATACAAAAAAAAAAAAAAAAAATCAAGTTTGTTTCAGGAATCCACAGAGCAAGGAGGGGATGAACACTACTGGACAGGGCCAAGATGAAATGGGTACTTAACACGACAGTGGGGAGGGTAACATTCAGCTCTGGGAGGAAATCTAGGCTAGTGTTCAGGAGCTGTCAGCAGCCATGAGAACTGGATCAGGGAACTTGGGGTGCCGGAAAGGGAACCCACGGGTTACTCCTGCCCTGCGAGCGCGGTGTTACTACAAGGAGGAAGCAGGTCCACTACACCTCCCAGACCCTGCTGGGAGGGAAAGTGTGAGGAGCTGCAGCACAGGCATCCATACAGCGCTGTGGAGGTCACATCTGTGCCATTCCAGGGAGGTTCCCTTAAGGAAATCCCACCTAACACCCTGCAGAACAGACAGTGTTCCCGGGAATGAGGGCGGTGCTGAGATGGCCCTGCCCGCGCACAGCTGAGCGCACGAGATGTGTGTGCAGGGGGAGGCTGGGGTGGCACCTCCACGGACTGGGGCGAGGGGGGCTGCCCTAGTGGCATTTCCAGAGGGATGCTGTGTTGGAGGCAGCAGGTAAGAGGAGTGACACTGGACCATAACAGTGCAATGACTCGGGCGTGTGAGGAAACTGGAGCTAAATGTGGCAGCCTGGAGGGTTCAGCTCTGCTTGTCCAGGCTGCAGAACAGGCCAGGATCAGCACACAGCCAGGACAGCAGGCCCAGAAGGGTCCCAAAATCCCACCCCCCAAAGCTTCTCTGTGAGCCCAGAGGAGCTTCATCCCATGGTGGAGCCTAAGCAGAGACCACAGGTAGCCAAAACCCTCTGGGATCTGCTTGTCTGGGACTGAATCGTCACAGGCTGGAGGCCCTGCAGAGACCGACAGGCCTGAGCCAGAGGCAGCTCTGCTTTGGGGCTCTGTTGTGTGGGGCTGCCCAAGGACACCAGGATCAGGGAGCCTGCCAGCTCTGAGCAGAGTGTCCTCAGGGGCACAGGCCTTCCATCCTCTGCTGGGGGACACCCGATGGCAGTTCTCAACCTCTCTTTACACCATAGTATGTTACCTGCACACAGTTCTCCCACTGCTAAATTCCCACCCCTCAGCCTCCAGCACCGCCTCTGCCACACCAAATCCCTCTCACACCAATCACCTCACAGCAAACATCTGGGAGGAGAAACGAGGGAGGGGAAGGGAGAGGAAACAAGAAAGGAGCCAGGAAAGAGCTTCACTCCCCAGGGCATTGTGCCTCCCCCCAGAACCAGCCTTGCTGCTGAGGGTAGGGTGAGCAGGTCGCTCCCTCTCCAGCAGAGTGTTTGGTCCTGCCAGGGTGATCCACCATATGGATCCACTGCTGGCCACCCTGATCTCGTACCCGCTGCCTGGAGCAAAGTCGTTTGGGATGCTCTTGCCAGGGGATCCTGTCACAGTTACTCATTTTGTGGTCAGTTCAAAAGCCACTCGCTCCCTGATCACCACTCCCACCAGTTCAGGGGCTGCCAACTACCAGCAACGTGAGCAAACTGCCCATAAGGAACCTCACACAGGGATGACTGCAGCCATCCATCCCTCTCTGTGCTCTCTCCTGGAGTAACAGCATCCCTGGAAATCACGAGAGGCAGCAACTCCTGACAGCCACTGAGCCCAGCTCTGCTCCCACCCCCCCCAGTGACCAGGGAGAAGGTAACATCACACAAACAGATTACAATTGTGCGAGCGGTGAAGCCAACCTTCTGATCTACAGAAATGATAATAAATAATAAAATAACATCATAACTTAAGTCTGTAGTCCAGCTACAAAAATTTAAAAATATGGGATAATTTAACTCATACAATACTGCTCTCTGTATAGGTAAGACATTTTCCTTCACTTTGCCATGAGGCTATAAATTACCACAGTTAAATTCAAACCAATATTTTAACATAAAATGTAAACAAACAAAGCAACAGAAGTACCTGTCCATGGTCCATTCCTGCCATTCACCTCAGGCTGGCCATGCCAGCACACTGGGAAGGGCAGAGGGAGAGCTCTTGCAGGGGGGACATTACCTAAGGAAGGGGGGGAAACGTGCTCTATCGTTTTGTTCTCTTTCAACATCGTTTTAGAAGAGTAGTGTTTGAAGGGAAGGCACTATGAGTTCTATCAGAAAACAAATTTTTCTCATCTGCCAATGCCTCGGCCTGTCACGTACCAGTACTATCCTCACTTTGACCTGCAGAGTTTCAGCTTGGAGGAGAAACAGAGGCCTCGGGGCACACCCGAGACACAGCTGTGCCACAGCCACTGTCAAATTCCCTGTGCAACCTGTTTTGCACAAAGCCTGATGTGAAGGGCAGGCAGCTGCTAATGCTTCCAAGAATGTACAGTGAATCAGGAGACAGAGCAGGACTGATGCTCTGAGCCAGGCCAGTGATTCCCAGTCTTCTCCCTCAACACACAGCTCTCTGCTGGTTATCAATGCTGCTGTAGGTGAGAGGCTGCTTCTCCCAGTCCAGTCCAGGCATCTCCAGTGTCCTCCCCAGAAGGGCTCAGGCTCTGAGAAATGTGCTTTCCATGCTTTGCAAGTCCTTGCTTTGCCAACACTGATTGGATTGATTTCTTTGACTGACTGAAACAGACAGGAGGTAAGAGGAGGAAGTAAACTGGGAAATGGCACACTGCATCTGAAAGAGGTCTCCCTGCTCAACTGGAGGTCAACACTGCCACAGTGAAGCAAGGACGGTGTTAAGAAGTGCTCTGATACCAATTCTCGAGAGGATGAGGTTAGAGTACATTTGCAGGATCTCACAACAAAATGCTGATTAAAAAAAGAAACTAAAAATCCTTAAAATAAAACCCGCTATTACATTCCTGGGGATGTATTGACTCAGAAGACCCTGGATGTTAGCACCTCAGTACCAGTTTGCTCCAGGAACTTGTCCACCTTCTGATTAAAAATGACTCAGCTGGTTATACTGAAAATGCTTTGTTCACAGGTCACCCTACAGTCAGGTTGTTTTCTGCTTTTCCTCTTTTGATAAGACTGAGTGGTTTAGTTTTCTTGATCTGTTCTCCAATCTTCAGGGCCACGAGGCCTGGTCCCCTGTGCAAGCAGCAAGAGAATCCCCTGCATCTGTACACAAAGCTGTCCAGGCAGGACTCCCAGGATGTTTCTCTGTAGTGTGCTTGCTTTCTGAACTTTTTTTTTTTTGCAACAAGTCTGTATGTCTATAAATACAATCCACTCTTTACAGTAAAAAGTGTTAAAATGTCAAAAAAATAAATATCCATGTTACAGTAACTAGATTATTCAATAAAATACATCCCTGCCATTCTTGATTGAAATGCTCAAAGAGAATTAATTTCATTTGGACATTTTCCAGAGATTCGGGTTATTGCAAATCACTCCTGGGGTGGGAAGGAGAAGCATCTTCTCTTCCTGTAAAGTGTGATGAAGGGGAATGAAGTGGAATCTCAGGGAAATCAAAATGCCAGTATCAGGAAGCTTTGGGGGAGATCTGTATTACCAAGTAGCAGAGCTGCAGGGCTTATTGGTCCTGACTGTGGCATCAGAACACTCCCCTTCAGAAGAGTCACAGTCTGATTCTCCAAACTGTGGTGGGTTCTGCAAAGCAAAAGGAAAGGGGGAGACTTGAGCTACATTCCTGTACTGCACAGTGTGTAAGAGCAGCCAGGCAAAGGAGGAGACTGGCACACAGGAGATGGCACAGAACACAACTGCCCTACCACAGGTCACTCATCTGCCCTCAACAACGGGACAGCAGAGGAACACCTGGGCAGAGCACTACCAAACAGAGTTGGGAGGAGATGGTGCAGCAGGCTCTGCCTCACCCCTCCCAAACACTTCAAACACACTAAAAGGAAGAAAATCATTCCAGCTTTGTCAGCAAGGCTGCCAATGGATATGTTTGAGGCAGTTTATACCCACTCCATTTCATTATCTATTTTTATCCCACTTAATGCAACTGCAAATCTCGTGGCCTCCCGAAATCACAGTCATCCTGACCAGTACATTATGTTCAGCCTTGTTTGTGTGATTTTCCCCCACCTACTCATCTGCCAAGTATGAGGCAGACTGGGTACTGAAGCAGTTGCTTTGCCATAGTACACCTACTACAGCATCTCCTAGGCAGCGTTCCAACTTTTTGGCCCTCGGATTCCTGTCCATAACATTTATTTAGTTTTTTTTCCACTTAGCAGCAGGAAGAGGGGATAATAAACTTTACAACTCACCTCACAGCTGTGTTCATCTGCACAAAGCTTGCCCAGAGACATCTGAGTCTTGACTCTCCGCACAGCGCACTCTTTGTCTGAAAGCCCATCCGACTGCATGGAGATTTCAATGGGGATCTCTGGAGTCTGGGACAACATGTCCTCCAACTTCTCAGCCAGCTCATCTTCCTGCTTGGTGCCCAGTTCATCCGGGCTGTTGGAGTGGTCGCTTGTGTTCCCCTCCTCTCCATCAGACACGGAGAAGTTCTCGGAGCTGAAGGTCGAGTAGGACTGGCAGCTACTGATGCAGCGATGGGGTCTGCAGAGGGGAGAGAGGTTCAGTGTCCAGCTTGGATCACACTGCCTCTGCCCTCCTGGCTGCTCTGTTCAGCTGCTCTGCTACACCAGGGCCTTGGCAGACCCCTCTCCTGTTGGGCTGCCTCTCATATCCTGGACTTACAGAATTCTACCTCTTCTGAATGATTTACTTCAAAACCTGCATCTTTAAATTCATCTGTTCTTATTTGGTCCTGTCTGGTACATGTCCATAATAGCTGATCTGCCCTGGAGCATATTTTACCTTTCCCAGTGCTCTTTCCTAAAGGAAGGCTGCACCATGGGGTTCAAGGTAACCCCATTTGGGAACATCTGCATTGCCTGGCAGCAATCCCAACAGCCAGGCAAGGATTTAGGTATGTGCACTCAAAAAACAGGCTCATAGCTACTTGACTGTGGAAAAGGCCTCATGCCAGGATTCAACAGCAATGGTACAACCCACCAGTTGAGTGAACATGCCAGGAGACCCACAGCTGGTCATCACATGGAACAGGCAATGTTTCTCCTTATCTCCCAAGTCAATAAATCAGAGGAAGCAACACTCACACAGGAACTGTGGGAGTCAGATAACTCATCCAGCCCAGACTTCTGCCTCCAGCCCCAGGCAGGAAGGAATAACCTGGGAAAAGTATGAGAACAGGGTGTGCAGGCAGAGCCTGCTTTCTCCTGGCATCTCTTCCTGGTTTATACCATTCAGCAAATCTGACTCCTAAGTAGAAGCTCAAACCTGGATGACAGTGCTCAGCCTCTGACGGATCTGTGCTCCAGAAATTCAACACTTGTGGCTCTTTATGGTTCAATTTCCACAGCACACCTTGACAATGAGCTCCACATCTGAAAATGTTCTGGATGGGAAAAGCACTTCCTTTTGTTCATTTTAAACCCCTGTTTGCTTCACTGGCTGTCCCTAACATGAACGTAAAGAATCATTCCTTGTCTATTTTCTCCACATAAATTACAATTTCACGCACCTCCAGTTTTGCCTCTCCTCCTGCTAGACAAACATTTCTCATGGATTTAATCTCTTCTTCTACAGAAACCATCCCTAACTACTCTTGTCACAGTACCTTTCCAAACTTTACCATGGTCTTTGAGCTGGGGAATGAAGGATTTAAACAGCAGGTGTGCTGTGGATGTGTACAACAGCAGACCAGCTTTTATTTTCTTCTTTTCTCCTCTAAAACAAACCTTTAACCTATTTGCCCACTGAATCACTCCTGCACTTCAAGCAGATGCTTTCACAAAGCCACAGCAGCTTTTCCTTGATGTCTGTTCTGAGCACAGGACTGTTGCTACCCAGGCTTAGGTAGTAACACTCCCTCAAGTCTTATTTTATAGAAAACACCATCAAATATGATCTGCTGTGTTGTCACCTAGCTCTTCAACCTTATCTGAATTCAACTGCAAAGGTGTTGGAGTCTCCCCCACTGCAGCAACCGTTAATAAACAACAGTCCACAAAAGGCCCCAATATCCACTAAATCTTATTCTGGTGAAATAGATGCAGCAGCTACTTTCTATAGGCTGAATAACACTATCTAGCATGACTAAGTTGTGCTGCAAAGAGCCTGCAGCAGGAAAGCTGTGCCAAAGAGAACACCTCGAGACAGGCTGGAGCAGGGAGTGGTCACGAGGGATCAGCTGAGTGTGGATGGGACGCACTGGACAGGTCCCATTCTGTTCTTTTGCCAGCACCTTCCCCAGGTGCCGTGCTGGTGTGCAGCTGCTAGGACAGTTCTCCTCCTGAGTTTTGTCCCACCAAAGAGAGATAAGAGTGAATTCATCTTTTACCTTTGTCTACGAGGAAACTCCACTTCACTGTCTACTTCACCCTCTTCCTCTTCTGATGAGTCGTCACCACTCTGGCAGAAAACAAGGACAAAAGTGGTGTCACATCGGTGGAGGCTCAAACATGGTTGACCCTTGGTCCTCCAGGAAAAAGTCACTGTGCCAACAGGCAGTAATAATCTAGACCAGAAGAAAACAGCCTGTGCACCAGGGAACACTGAGCCAGTCATCATCCTACCAGGAGGCTATTTCAGGCAGCCCTAATGCTGCCATTCCCAAATCTGGACTCTGAAATACACTGGAGAACTCCTGCAGGCACGGAGTACAACATAATGTTCCAGATTGTTACGGAGCAAATCAAGTAATTAGTATCATATGGAAACCCACACAAATTATTGAGCTGATCTGGCACTCTTGGCTTTACAACTTTGACCCTCTTCTCCATCACAGAGCAGGATGGGGGATGACACAGCCTTTGCTGGTGGGTTTCACTAACTCTGAGCATAGAGCCTTTTCTCCTCCTTTTCCCACCCAAATTCACCACTACACTCTTGTTTTTTAGAGCCTCCTCCTACCCTGTCCAACCTGTCAGCCCCTCATTCAGATTCAGCTTCTATCTCATCCTGTGGCCTTGTCATACGAGGTCCCCCTACCTTCATTCTGTGTCCAAACCACACTCTTGATCTGGTAGTCATCCTATTTTCCTTCACTTCTCCACCCAGACCTAATTTTCCTGCTCTCTGAACTCCACTCAGACTGGTTCTGCTTTTCCCACCACCTGGATGAAAGCAGGAGGAATAAAGAGCTGTTTCTGTTCAACTGTGCCATCATGTCTTTTTGACTCTTGCAAAACCCTCACAAAACACAGGAGAACTACAACTTTCAGTGGAGGGGGACAGTTTCTGGAAGCTGCAGCAAAAGGCACATCCCCAAGACCAATATTGAATTCCTGTTCTGAGGAGCAGTAGCCCCACAGATTCTCAAAGAAACTCTCATGTGATATTTAAAGAACACATTTACCCCTTCCCTTTGAGAAAGGCTTGAAAACATTTTGAGACTGTTCCAACAGGAAAAATTCAGCAGAACAAGTTTCAGCTCAAACAAAAATTGGTGGAACTGAAAGTAAAAGAACTAAGCCCTTCCAAAACCTCAAGTGAGAACCCTCATCATTAGCAGTATGCTCCAGTATGCCCTACAGCTCCATAAACTGACTTTAAAAGTATGTCCAGATCACAAAGCAAAGTTCAGCTGTGCATGATTTCTTTGAGATAAAGGTGTACACGCAACTACTACTGCTGTGTGTGTGTGAAACGTGGTCTTGCTGCTGTCCTAGACACCAGCCCATGCTGCCCACCTTCCCTTGGTGGAGAGGGGAAGAAAGTTTTGCTTTATTTCAAACCCCAGTACTTCGCCCTCACCTTCTGAAGGGACCTCACTTTGCAAGGCAGCACTGAGGACGCCATGTGCTGGGGAGTGCCCAGGGCGGACGCTGCCGTGCCCTGCTCCTCCAGCTTCTCCACGAACTGAGCGCTCTCGTAGAGGGAAGCAGAAGCCGGGGACTGGGGGCAGCTCCCTCCCGCCTCCGCAGGCACCACCTGCCCCTGCCCACTGTCCTCATCCCTGCACTGCAGACACGAGTCATAGGGGTCTGCAGAGCAGCACTCCCAGCGCTCAGCCTTGCCATCCTTGCCCTCGAGGCCGCGGCGGCAGTCGGCCTCCATGGCGGTGGAGATGAGGTCGGGGCTGGAGCCGGACACGCGGCGCTGGGCGTGGTTGCTGAGGGGGCTGCGCAGCGCGGCCGCAGGGCCGAAGTATCGCAGGTTGTTGGCGCAGTTGGCAATGTCCTGCCCGTGGGCGTGCAGCCGCGAGTGCTGGCCGTGGCCTGGCTGCGGCAGCCCGGGGTGAGGAGGGGGGTTGTGAGACGGAGGTGGGGGTGCGTCGTCCTGCGCTGGCTGGTTTTTCAAGATCCCTGCAAATTCCTGGTAGCTGCCTTTGCTGTTCCCCCGGCGGTGCCGGGGCTTGCTGCGGTACCGGCTTTTGCCGCTCAGCGTTGACATTTTGGGACTTCCTGAGACTGGGGAGCCGTTGGATGCTGCCTCTGTGCTGGGTATGCCCTCTGACTTCAGCAGGTCTGGCCTGGGAGACAGGGAGCAGAAGTTACACATCAAACCAAAGCAAAGAACTGATGTCAGCCCGGAGCCAGGATGAAGAGGCAGCTGCAGCCACAAGCACACTCTGCTTCTCAAAATCTACAGGCCGCCCTCCCCTTCAGCTGTTTGACTCCTTCATTTCCTTCCCTTTGATTCTCTCCACTCAATGTCCTTTCCATTCAGCCCATCCTCCTCTACCCTCCCTTCTTGCTGCTTTTTCCAATAGCTCTCACACGCTCTCCCTTTTCCTCTCTTATTTTGATGTTCTCTCCCAAAATAGCTCCCTCCCAGGACCTTGGGGTAGAGCTCTTGCTCCATGCATGTACAGTGCTCAGCCCCAATCTGCAGATAATGATCAGCCTGCTCATCTCAGAGCCACGTAGGGATATTAATTCAGAAGTGATTATTCAGTGTTAATCAGGACTAACTCCTGGAAATCCCCCCCCTAAAAAAAGAATAAACCAGACAACTCCTCTGGAAAAAATAATATCACTTTCTCAAAGTCATGCAGAAGAGAAATAGATGAAAGGACAGCATGAATTCCCAAATTTCAAATCCAGAATTAATTCCTCAACAATGAATCCGTACTCCCTGAGGAATGGCTGATTTCCACAATCCCTCAACCCTGCTTATTATAATTCCAGTCAAGGATGATCTAACTGCTCTCTGCTTGGACAGTTAAGCATTTGAGACAGCATGTGAGATATCTCCTGCCCAAGCACCATCATCTGCTCAAAAAATCACATGGACCAACAGTTCATTCATTCAACCAAAGCATCCTGTGACTCTGTGTTTCCAGAGAGCTGCCCAGGTGGAAGGGATGGCAGGATTCAGCCCTTTTACCTTCAGATAATTCAACAGTTGTGGTTGAAGGATCAGAGCAGGCCCAAGAGTGAACACCCCCTCGTCCCACCCTGCGTGTCCCCAGACTCAAAGGGAAGGAGGCTGCCTGCTCATCCCAGTGGGAATCTGCCACTGGCTCTGGCACAGGACTGGGTGGTTGTTTCTTACCGTTTAGTCTGGCTGCCTGGTTTATGGGAGACCCCTTTCCTCTTCATCAGCTTCTCCACTGTATTGGGGTGGATTATTGGTCTGACTGGGTGGCGCTTGTAAGTCCCAGGGTATTTCTTTTCCACTGCTTGTTCCCTCCTGAAACATTGGGGGAAAAAAAAAAAAAAAAAAAAAAACACAAACCAGATGAATTCTTTCTTTGTCCAAGTGCAGGTCCACAGTGAGCCACAGCTGGGTGCAACACAACATGCTGTGCTGGGAAAGGACACAGACATCTCTGAATTCCCTCTGCAGGGATCAGGCAGCTGGAACAGGGCCCTGGCACACAGTCCAGGAGCAGCACTGCTGTTCTTTGTACAAAGGGCCCAAATGGGAAGGTGCCTTTCTCCCAGTCAGTACCCCGTGCACACAGACACATGCACTAAGTGGTCTGCAAGGACCCACTCCCAAGGGGCCTCTCCGTGCTTGCCAGCTACTCCTTCACCATGTAAGTTTGTCAGGGGACACTAAATCTACAAGTACCACTGCACAGCCTAGAAATGAAGCACTGCTTTTGTTCTCCTGTTTGCAGACTGCCACGCCCATGCCACCATTCCCAGAGACACGTACTTGATGAGCTCCTTCTCCCGGACCTCCAGTTGCAGCATAATAGCACTGAGCTCCATGTACAGGTTGTTGGCCCGCTCCAGCTTCCTCTCGTAGTGCTCACGGATATCTAATGCGTGCCTGGAAAGCACAGAAGTCATTATTCCACTCTGGTGTCCACAGACCAAGAGAGGAGAATAAGGAAAACTACAGGTGCTCTAGGAAAAGGCCTTCTAAAAGTCCAATTTGCCAGCAGTACTGCACTGAACCCCAGATAAAATGAACAGTAAATGATGACTAAGAGCCTGATACAGCAATAAATCATGGTATGATTTAGGAAGGGTTTAGTGGCCTTGAAAGAGTGGCAACACTTATAGAATCATAGAATCATACAATCCAGCTGGGTTGGAAAGGACCTCGGAGATCATCAAGTCCAACCCTTGATCCACTACCACCAGAGTTACTAAACTATGGCACTGATGCCACATCCAGTCTCATCTTAAAAATCTCCAGGGACGGAGAATCCACCACCTCCCTGGGCAGCCCATTCCAATGCCTGATTACCCTCTCTGTAAAGAATTTCTTCCTAATATCCAACCCAAACCTCCCCTGGCACAGCATGAGACTGAGCCCTCTTGTCTTACTGATAGCTGCCTGCCAAAAGAGACCAACCCCCACCTGGCTACAACCTCCTGTCAGGGAGTAATAGAGAGTGATGAGGTCTCCCCTGAGCCTTCTCTTCTCCAAGCTAAACAACCTCAGCTCCCTCAGCCTCTCCCCACAGCACTTGTGCTCCAGTCCCTTCCCCAGCCTCGTTGCTCTTCTGTGCACCTGCTCCAGCCCCTCCATGTCCTTCCTGAACTGAGGAGCCGAGAGCTGGACACAGCACTCCAGGGGTGGCCTCACCAGCGCTGAGTCATGGCAAGAATCACTTCCCTGCTCCCGCTACCACATTCTTCCTGAGCCAGGTCAGGATCCCTTGGGCCTCTTGGCCCCCTGGGCACACTCTAGCTCGTGTTCAGCTTCCCGTCACTCCACACTCCCAGGTCCCTTTCTGCCTGGTTGCTCTCCAGCCACTCTGTCCCCAGCCCGTGGGGCTGCCAGGGGTTGTTGTGGCCAAAATGCAGGACCCGGCATTTGGCCTGGTTGAACCTCATCCCATTGGAATCAGCCCATGGATCCAGCTTGTCCAGGTCCCTCTGTAGAGCCCTCCTGCCTTCCAGCTGATCGACACTCCCTCCCTGCTTGGTGTCATCTGCAAATTTACTAATGGTGGACTCAATTCCCTCATCTAAATCATCAGTAAATATGATTAAACAGGACTGGGCCCAACACTGATCCCTGGGGGATACCACTAGTGACTGGATCCCAACTGGATGCAGTTCCATTCCCACCACTCTCTGGGCCCAGCCCTCCAGCCAGTTCCTAACCCAGCACAGAGTGCCTCTGTCCAAGCCATGGGCTGCAGCTTTTCCAGGAGTGTGCTGGGAGAGATGGTGTCAAAGGCGTTACTGAAGTCCACTTCCCCCTAGAGAAGCTGCAAATGCCTCACAAGAACCCAGCCCTGATCATCCTGTTTGCATGGAAAAGGGGCTAAACCAGCTTCTACAGGAACAGGGAACACTCACATGTATGTGTTCCACTAACAGCAGGGTGCCCCCACAGCTCTAGTTCAGCAGCAGACGACAAGTGGAACTGTAGCCAGAAGATGTGACCAGGCAAAGTTCCTCTGGGCCAGGGGACACTGAACAAGCTCTGCATCAACCTGGTTGGCCAAGACTGCCTTTGGTTTGACACAGAACTGCTACTTGGAGTTTTCTGTTTCTCTGTCATAACTATATTTGCAAATTTCTATCACAGGAGGTGACACTTTCTTAAATAAACATCCTGCTTTCATTTTTAAGTTGATCTAATGTTTAAAATGGGTTTGGGTGGGCTGGTCAAATGCAGTGTGTTCACTTCTCTGGAATAACTAATCCAAGGAAAGTATCAGGGCAGAGAAAGCTCACAGGAAAATGCAAGAGGGATTTCCCAGGAAGATGAATGTATCTGCTCCAGTGCTGTTATCCCAAACACCAAATCTCGGGCAGAAATATTCCCTGGTAAACACATAAGCCTTTGCCCATCCTGCCTGAAGCAAACTGTTGGGACTGCACAAGGGCAGGGACAGTTCCCACCGTTTCTCTCCAGCTTCCCATCAACGAGCAGTGCTCAAGCTCTAGGGCATGCACACAGGAACTTCAGTTTCTGGGCTCACAAGGGATTTAGGTCGCCCAAGTTTATGCCACCAGGAATGCTGCATCCTGTTTTGGGATCCACAGTACCAGAGGAGCACGAAAATTCCACTCAGTACCTGGAGCACAAGCCCCAAGAGGACAAGCTGACGGAGCTGGGCTCATGTAGCAGGAGAAGGGAGGGTTGGGTGGGAAAAGTGAGTAGGAAACATAAAGGACTGGCAACAAACCTGAGCTCTTCTCTTCGGCGCCGAATCAATTCTTCATCCAACCGGTGGATACAGGTTCCTTCACTTTTAATTTTCTCAAAATGTTTCTTCACTTCTTCTCTCCATTCAGCCTGGGAAAGCAATTTACTTTCAGGCGTTTACAAAGAATTGGGATCCCTAGGTGCACCACAGAAAAACTCCTGGGCAATGTTCTTTGTGTAGAGCAGAAAATTACAGGTTTGGGTTGAAAATGTATTTCTGTTAGCTGAATTATTTTGGGTAACAACACTGCAGCATGTTTAGTGTCAGCATTTTCAAATGGTATTTAAAAGTTTGAGCTCTGATTAGAGAATTCAAAACATATCTGCATTTTCTAAAAAATGCTTTGAAAAATTCCTAAACCACTTTTTGTTCTAAGACAACATTTTCCTCCTTTTTTTCAGTTAAAGTAAGCACAAAGGCTTATGATTTGGAAAGCTCTCTTCATGACGATCACTGTCTAGGGTGATATGCTATTTGCTCATTGAAGCCCTGGTTCCTGTAGCTTTAATATATGCCCCATTTTGTCACATCTACCCCAACAGATCTTTACTAGAGGCAAGGTTTCATTCTCCTTCCCTCTTTGGGAACAGACAGTTTCTTGATGGGTAGGACTGGGAGGGATCTCTAAGATCATACTTTAAGATCTTCCCTGAAAGTCCCAGAGTCCCTTTGCTGCCGTGTTCCAACTCTGTGTCCCACTTGCTGCCTTCACTCTAAATGCAAAGGTTCTGCTCCCAATAGCCTCGAGGTCTCCTGCACAGCAGTGCTGGGAGAACTGCTGAAGCAGAGCAGCTAGAGTCAGCAGGCTCAGGGAAAAGTGAGGGAGGCACCACTGAGCCTCTCACTAAGTCAGCAGATGCCTCAGCTTGGGAAAGTCTGGGTAAAAGATTTCCAAATACCCATCAGTAGTTTGCTTCTCCCCAAGAATCAAACCGAAATCGTGGATCCAGACTCTTGTCTCCAAAAATCAGATCCTCGGAGCTAACTGCAGTGCTCACGGGCTCCAGCCCCTCCCCAGTTACCTGGGATTTGAAGTAGGTTTCCTGAGGAGTAGCCAGCACATCGGCAGAGGCGATGTCCAGGTGCATCAGGGTCTGCCGGAAGGAGGGACGGTTCCGGGGCTTGCTCTGCCTGAGGGAAAACAGACACATTCCCAGGGATGGATAAGGTGAACACTGCCAGCCTCTCCTGCCCTTCTGAAAGGGTTCCACTAGAACTATTCTCTGAACTGTGCAGCTGATAGGCTAGAGCAAAGGAGCTTTTCTGGTTTTCTCTTTTGCTGAATAGGAGTTTACTGTGCTAGAGTTGGGTATTTTGCTGAAGGAGCAAAAGAGGTGAAAAACACTTAAGACCACAAAGTGAAAGATAGGAACAGCTTCAGCTTGTATCTTGACTTACTTGTCAAGAAGTAACATACTTTGGGGTCTGTCATTCCACCAATTTCCAAATTTCACACTGGGAACACTCAGTCTAGTAGAAATGATAATTTACATTCAACAAAACAGGGTGTTTATAAGCACCAAAGGCATGTGAGCTGTCACACCGTACATGTCCTAGCCCACACAGTACTGCAATGCACTGAAAATCCCTGTAAGATCTCAGACGAGTACAAAACCATTTGCATTTTTGAGGAAAAAATACCTCACTCGAGCTTAAGGACTGAACCTGCTTTGCTCAGAAGAGCAGTTTCTTCGGCGTCCTCTCCCCTACAAACCCCCTCTTCCACTAGGTGGGGACACAACAGAGCTGCACCAGCTGCTCCTGCCCTCCACTGCCACTGAACAGCCCTGCAGCTCAGGGTTGGGCACACAGCACCTGGAAAACATCCACACAGGCTCTGGCCTGTTTTCCCCCCTGTGCCATGGAGAGGATGGCCGGTAAAACTCACGGAGTGGGAAAATGCTGGAAGAGCCTTTAGGCTCTGTGTCAAGATGCAATGACAAAGACAAATCACCTAATGCATCACCCAAGACAAAGAATTTCAACGCTTTTCTGGTGTGTGGAGGAAACTGAAAACATTTTCTATATCTGGACCTGTAAAATCTGTGTTCCAGACAGAAAGCTCAAACTTCTCTTTGTCCAGTCCCTTACAAGGGGTTTTCAGAGTGAAAAAATCAGTTCCTTTCACTCTGGAGCCAGCCTCAAGGAATTTTACCCCTTCTTCACTTCCTTTTCTCTTCCCACCTTTTATCCCCTACTCTGCTTCAACAAATCATACCTCTCTTGAAGGCCACTGAAGATGCCGTTTGTGCTGCCTGCTCCTGGTTCACACTAGACAGGTAGCTCAGGGGTAACTGTCACCTGCTGGGGCTCCATAAGGTTCTACTCCCACTTCTCTCCTATACAACTCCTTCCCGCTCACCAGCCTATCTCCAGTGTCTGCCCATTCCTTCCCCTGCCCCATCCACACAGCAAACCAGACAGGTCTCTCCCTACTTCCTCTAACCTCCAAATGTCCTTCTGGGGTCCAACCCTGCTGCCACAAGGAAGCAGAATCCAACAGGTTAAAACTTAGTGCTCTCAGGACAAGTGTGAGAGCATTTCAGAGCCCCCTGCCCCAGGCTCAACACTCCCACCCTGACACTGGTTTTACTGGGAGCCAGCCCCAGGTCTGTGCTGTGTAGGGTTCAGGTTCTTACCAGGTTTGTTTCATGAGGATTTTGAAGCCATCTGGGCAGGTGGAAGGGACGGGAAGGTGCAGGCTGTTACTGCCCACTCCCCAAATGATGGCTGAGGAATCCACATCCTTGTAGGGAATCTCTCCCGTAAGCAGCTCCCACAAAACCACCCCAAATGACCTGGAAAAAAAATAAACCAGGATGAATTGAATTCATGCTCTGGAGCTTGAAAAGAACAGTTTATTTGACAAAAACAGGGAAATAAGGATGTCTGGTCTGAAATTGCAAGTAGGTGCAACAGTGGTTTTTAACACCCCAGGTGACTTCCTCCTCTGCCCCAGCACCAGGTTGAACACCAAACCACACCGGTTTTGACCACACTTTCCTATTTATTTGTGAGAATTTAAAAATCCTGAAAGCGCATTTCCAGTACAGATCAAGTCTTAGTCCTGTTACATGAAAAGGAAAGGCAGTTTCTCTCAGATAGACTTTGGACTGTCCTGGTTGGTAAGAACCAAGCATTGACTACTGCACAGATAGAACTGAGTGTCTTACAGAGACCACACAACAAAGGTTTACTGGTCTTTTTTTTTTTTTTTTAATATTTAACTTATTTTTCCCTAGCCAAAAGCTCCCTCTACTGTTATCTGTATTCCCAGGTAAGAATTTCATAGGTTTGAGACTCAGCACTACAACTACTGCAACACAGAAATTAGGAAACAACTGCCACATGCATAAGTGTCAGTACCAAAAGTAGATGAGATCTCACTGATATTTCCTTTGTGCTGAAGAAAGGAAGGATAAAGCAAGAAAAAAAAATTATTAAGAGAAATCAGTCTGAGAAAGAACCTCCTACAAAAACTGAAAGATGCAGGCAAGAAAACTCACTTTGCTTCTTTCTTAATGATGGGAAAAGACATAAACCTTAATTTATAACAGTCAAGTGTTATTTGATTTATTTACAATCTTCACCCAATAAAATACTAATGAAATACCAAACCAGTCAACAGAGAGGTAAACAAAATGCTGCTGAGAACCAATACCACTGTTACTGCACATCAACAACCAGGCTGTGACACAGGTGAGGTACAACCATCTCCATTTCCAAACCAGACGTGTCACCTTACTTACACCCCATCCCCCTGGGGGACGCCGAGCCTGCCAAGCCAGCAAGTCTAATTAGGTGAAAAGTGAGAAGGGTGTTTCTGTGTCTGACTTGTACCAATATCCAGTTGCTTTTATTAAGTACAGAAAAACTTCTGAGGGACAAACTGCCAGGTCTGAAAAGCCATCAGCCAAGAAACAACTTCATGAGAAAAACATTGCACTTTCAAAGTCCGTTAGCTTCAATTCATATGGAGGGAAAAAAATCAAAAAAAGCAAAGTTTGAACATTTTTCTCTTGAAATTTTTATCCATGTGCTGCAGGAAAGCAGGGATCCAGGTGCTTGGACAAACTACCAGGAAAGCTCATCTGGTTTTAGCTTTGTTATGACTAAGAACTGACAAAGGATTTTCAAGACTCCTGATAAGATTATAGATTTATTTTTTAGTATGCTGTTAAAGATGAGAGAGAGCAGACATATAAGCAGCTTAGGAACTGTTCTCATTTGTTGCCAGCATCCATGAACATCGTTTTTAACTCATCTTGGGGGAGGAACGAATGGCAAGGAGGAGTCTGAGCAATCACCACTACTGTGGACTCAAGAGGACATTGTACCAAAGAGCAGCATCTCCAAGACTGAGGGAAGGAGTATTGGACAGGATGCTCCACAAAATATTCCTGGACCTAAATCCCTCTAAAGGACAGAAAACTGAGGGTGGAAATCCAGCACCATTCCTCTTCACGATCCTGTGGTTCAAAGGGAGGAGCTCAGAAGACAAATGCAGAGTGTATTTTCTTTCCAAAACAGCCCCAGAGCTTCTCCCAGCAGGGCTGGCTGTGCTGTGGGTTGTACATCCACACTAAATGAGCACACAGAACACCATGTCCTAATGAACCGTGGGCTGCGCATCCGCACTAAATGAACACGCAGGACACCGTGGACACCAGAGCAGCTGCACACCACAGGTCACACCACCTTCCCCACAGGAAACCCTGACCATCAGGTCAAGCCCAGCTCTGAGCTCCGACTGGAGCAGCAGGCAGGCTGCTGTCTGACTCCATCACCCCCAGAGCAACCCACAGCTTTGTCCTGCAGCTTCCTGCTGGGCCAGGGATATGACAGCATCTGAAGCTGAAAAACCTCAAGAAGGAAAATTCCTCCTGGCTGTAAAGAAGGGAGAAGGGCATTTGTCCTGGCTGCTGACATTTAATATGCAGAAATAATGAGGCAGAAACAGAGATGCAGTTCTCCTGAGGGCTCTGAAACCTGTGGAGAGGCTTCCCACGGGAGCTCCAAGGCTGAGCCCTCTCAAGCATTTTTAATAGCATGGAGACTGAACCTTTCCTTGTGTTCCTTTGAACACAAAGCATGTTTCACATGGGATGGAAAAAGGTTTCAAAACTCTTACAGCCTCTCCTGGTTTCCTCCCTCTAGGATCCAGGGTTAGAGTCACAGGACTATAATCCTGTGGCTGCTCATGTAACAGCCCAGCCTGGTGCATAGAAAGCACAAGGTGGTGGGGCAGAGGCCTCCTTTCAGCTCCAGCATGGCCTGAGAGGGCAGAAAGCAGTGGAAAAGCACCCTGGTTGCAGAGGTTGCTGAGGGGGCCCTGAGCACTGGAAGAAAGCTCTGGGCTGAATAATGACACAGGGAAGAACCTCTGCACTTGCTCCCTGCAGGACAATTTGCACTGGGCCTCATCAAGAACCCCCACACATGTGTGTCATTCCCCTCTCCATTACAGCCCATGGCTCAGGAACAAAGCTCAGGACACCAGGCAGAGGGAAAAAGGAACAATCCACCCCAGAGCAAACCATCCCCAGACACAGGATGAGCAAGGAATGTGGCAAGTGCTGAAAAACCAAGTGGCTAATCAGAAGGCGAAGATACTTAACCCTTAACTCTACTCACCAGATATCCACCTTTTCGGAGACGGGCTCATTCCGTATCACCTCTGGGGCCATCCAAGCCACTGTTCCCGCAAAGGACATCTTGGTACTCTTATCACTGAGCTCTTTAGATGTACCGAAATCTGAAATTTTTACTGCATCTGTGTGTGTGACTAAAACACTAGAGGGAGGGGGGAAAAAAAAAAAGAAAAACAACAAAGAGATCAGCATTTTGTGATTGTTCATGTAGCACAACAGCCCCTGGGAGTAAATCCCTTCTTAATCAACACGACCAGTTGATGAGGTTAACTGCAGTACAAGAGAAAAGATTATGTATTTTCACCGATGAAAGCTCTCACTCGCTTTGGGGTTGTGTTTTGTGCCTCAAATGCACTTCTGCATGCTACGAATCAAAAATCAATCTTGATAAAACTGCAAATTAACAGGTAACTGAGGATTCAGAAGCAAAGCTGTACCTTAAACCGTGCTGTAAACCATCTAAAAGCATTATCTTAATGCACTGTCACACACTAAAAAAGTGATGAACATCTAGGGAATAAGAATATAAGCAGCCAGAATGTTTTAGTCAGAAAGCAACAGAGAAATGAGAGACACATTCCAGAAAATCAGGAAAATAACAAGAGATTAAGAAGGAAAAATAAAAAGCAGAAAACAACAGAATATTCCACTTTCAAAAAGGACTGGACACTATGAAATCACTAAGTATTTCCTGACTGCTATTTATCACATAAGGTACCAGTAGCATTTCCAGACTTGTTAAACCGCAGCACTGGAGGGCAGTGCCAACGAGTTCCAGTAGTTTCACTCTCATTAGTTTTGAGAAAATGTGGAAAAAGAATAGTAAAGCCTTTTAGCCAAACTTCACACTATCCCTCAAGAAAAAAACAGCACCAAAACTGCGGGACGTTTAAGCAGCTGAGACTCCCTTTGGTGACCTGAGGAACCCAAACTGGGGGATATTTAAGTAGCTGAAACTGGTGACCTGAGGAACCCAAACAGGGGGATGTTTAAGTGGTTGAGACTCACTTTGGTGACTTCAGGTCTCGATGGATGATTTTGTGAAGGTGCAGGTAGTTCATGCCACTAGCAATGCCCGTGGACCAGTCCACCAGCAGGCGAGGGGTGACCTTCCTGCCTGCACGCAGGACCTCGTAGAGCTGTCCATGTGCACAGTATTCCATGATGATGCAGTAGCATGGGGCTTGAGTGCAAACCCCCCTGCCAAAGAGAACTTAGTGAGGAACAGCAGACACACAACTTGACAGCAAGGCTGGCTTGCCCAGAGAACTTGAGCAAAAGCCTCTTGCCTGGACAAAGGAATGCTCCTGATGAGTCCCACAACCTACTTGAACGCGATGATGTTGGGATGTTTGAGCTTCCTCAGGTGCTTGATATCTGTTTCGTTCTGATCCCTCACTTTCTTGATGGCCACCTCCTCCGCCCGGAACTTCCCCAGGAATACAGCTCCCTGTGCTCCGCTGCCCAGCCACTGCAGCTCTGAGATCTCCTCGAACGGCACCTCCCAGGTATCTGGCACAGGCAGAAAAACAGGGTAACGTCCAAGACAAAGACCACGAAAACATTCTGCTGTAAGATCACACCAGGGCAGCACCTGCCATCTCCTACACCTCAGGGTACACTCTTCTAGAGGTAGTAGGTGGCATCTTCTCCCCAGATAGGCAAAACTGAGGCACATGCAGCATGTGCTTAGCCACAGCATCCCTTCCATCCATCCCAGTCACCTCCAGCCTGCTCATTCCCATCCTTCCTGCTGCTTTTTCAGAGCTCACCACCCTGCTAACCACTTGGGTGAGCCACTTTGAGTTGGCAGGCAGGAACTGAACACGCCAGGGACCCTGGAGTGGCAATTTTGGGAGGAGATCCTCTACCCCAAGACTGAAGGAAGACAGTATCCCTTACAAAGTACATGACTCCATAGAAAAGCATAGATGAGAAAAAACACTTAATATTCACAAATGACATAAAAGATATTGAGGGTTTCCCTCCACCCAAATTGGGTACAAATAGGAAATAAAAGGAAATGCAGAGGTGGCAGGTTGTAAACACAGACCAGCAACCACTAAGTCACCCAACACAAAGCATATCAACCACCACCAGCAGTCACAGAAAGGGTCTTTCCCACACCAATGCTGTGTGTATCGATGTCAAACAGGCAAAACAAGCTTAAGCAACTCCTCCTCTTTGGTACCTACACACATTTGTAGGGACAATGCTGGAGTGGTCCAGTGGCACTGTACCAACTGCTTCAGGAGAGTTGTACCCATCAGAACAGAAACCCTTGCTCTCTGTGAGTCGCCCTGAAATTACCTTAAATCTCACAAACAGCTAAACGAAAGGCAGACAATTATTTATTTATTGTGACTCAACAAATGTGTAAGTTTAGAGAGTAAATTATTTAACAGCAAAAACAACCAGTAACCCACTGATTTCTAAAATAAAAGGAAATCACACCTGCACAGATCCCTATTTCAGACTACAAAGGTGTGTTTTCTTATCTCATCCCTTTTCTGAGCCACCAGGGTGTTCCCAGCTGGGATTATGTCAAAGTGCACATTTCTGATCCTGTCATTGACATATCCCCAAACTGTCTGTGTGGGACCCTTCCCCTCTTTCATCCCTGTGTCAGTCAGACACTGGCTGGCTGTGTCCTGCTGAGTGGTTGCTCCCCAAGCACGGTCATGGAGAGCCAGCTACCCTCTGGAGCCAGACCCCAACACTCCTTCTGTCACTGAACTGGAAAAAACAACCTTGTTCATCCTACAGCAAAAATTCCCCCTGCCTTGGTATGGCAAAGTTCAACATTCAGCACATGTTCCTCCCCAGACACGAGGCTGTTTTCCACACTGATGGATCCTCTCACAGCCCAGAACTGTAACTGGTATTTAAGTCTTCAGACATCTAGATACTAAAAGACTTTAAGTAAAGAAAACAAATAAAATGGGGGCAGTCATAAATAAATTGAGAAGATCTGTATTTCTATTTAATTCATAAATGCACTGCTCCTGAAAGGAGGTGGCAAATACAGGTGGTTTTTGTGTGTGTTGGTGAACAGTATTTTTATATGGGCAACATTGAAACTATTCTGTTGTACTGAAATAGCTGTTCTTTTCACAGAATCCTGGGGTGCTTTGGGGTGGAAGGAACTTTAAAGCTCATCCCACTTCACTCCCTGCCGTGGGCAGGGACACCTTCCATTAGACCAGGTTACTCTGAGCCCCCTCCAACCTGGCCTTGGACACTTCCAGGGATGGGGCAGCCCCAGCTTTGGAAATATCAAGAGGAACCAGGAGCCAAACCACACGTAACATACAGTGCAACAGACTCTTCTGGGCCTAAAGAAACTTGCCCTAAATAAATTATAGTGTAATAGCAGCAGGAATTACGCAAGAACTTGCATTTCTGAGGTGATTAAGAACCATTTGAGTAGAATGATGGGAATCTGTTTCCCAAGGGGGAAGAAATGCAGGAGCAGCCTGAGCCACTGAGCCAACCTATTTGGAGGAAGTTTTTTTCCAGAGTTGGCTGCTGGTCAGCCTTGGCACTGTGACAAGAAGCATCTCTGGTTTACAGAAACTCCACCAACACAAGCACCCTTGGATGGGCACCTTGCTCTCCAGGTACACACAAAAACCCTCACGATAACAGTAAACAGGTAACTTGTGAAGGGAAAGGTGAAACCAACTCCTGGAGACAGTTTCTTAATCCAAAGGTAATGGTTTGCAAATCTAATGAGTCTGTAGGAAACACAAACAAGTGCTGAAGTCCCAACGATCCCAATTAAGTAACTGGTAGAGGCAAATGAAAGAACTGAGTGTATCTCCCTGAAAGCACTCACCAACAGCCTTTAGAAATCAGGGTAAGCAACTGGAAAAGCAGTCAGGAGGGGTTTTATGGGTCTTTATGGGTCAAATACTTAAACCTCAGATAATCAGCTGGCAGGGAACAACAAAAAAGCAAACCCTCCCTGCAGGAAAGGCCTCTCACCCAGCAGCACTGGCAATGCTCAGCCAACCAGCCTGCAGCAGCTCCCCGCTCACCAAACCTCTGCCCTTGAGGGAAGCATGGAAACCCACTCCCCTTGGTGACCATCTCGGATGTTGGGAAAGGCACTCAAGGAGTGTTTTCAAAAAGAAAATAATGCGGAATCACGTAAAAGTTGTTCTCATCTTTCCCCTCATTTACCCAGTCACGAGCCAGACCTTCACAGGCAATGTGGGTTCAAGGATCAGACATCTGCCAAGGGCATGAAACCTAGTTGTATTTCACTAGTTGTAGGCACACCACAACAGCACCACCATGTCCTAGAGTGTGGGCCTGCAGGAGATCCAAAGAGGCAGGCAGGGATTACAGAGAGCATCAAAAAGTACCAGGAAGCACCTGCAGGCAACACAGAATGGTTTGGGTTGGAAGGACCTTAAAGCTCACCCAGTTCCACCTCCTGCCACGGGCAGGGACACCTTCCACTAGACCAGGCTCCTCCAAGCCCCATCCAGCCTTGCCTTGGACACTTCCAGGGATCCAGGAGCAGCCACAGCTTCTCTGGGCAACCTGTACCAGGGCCTCAGCACCCTCCCACGGAAGGACTTCTTCCTGACATATAATGTAAATCTCTCCTCTTTTAGTTAAAACCATTCCTCCTTGCTCTATCACTACCTACCTCTGTAAAAAGTCACTCTCCCTCTTTTTTATAATCCCCTTTAGGTATTGCAAGGCCACGTGGCCGCAGATCCAAACTGGGCTCCTACCCCAGCTGTTGATTCAGCCCAACACAAAGGACTGCTCCTGGATGAGGCTTGAAGTAGCTGTCTCATGAAGAAGGGAAAAAAATATCATCTGCAAGATCTGTGGCACCAGTCCAAAGCTGCTGTAAAGAAGCTCCCAGGGGAAGGAAAGGTCACCACAAGCCTCTCCCTGCTGCTGAAAGAGCCAGAGACATTTCCTCAGCCTCTTCTCCAAAGGCACAGGACTGGCACAAACACAAACTGTGCATCCTCTGTGCTCTTGCTAAAAGACAGCAAAAATAAAAATAATCACATACATCAGTTACTGAAGTGCTGGCTTGTACGTAGCTGATGAAACGCACACAAAGATGATTTTCTGGTGGCAAGAAGCAAGAATGAGATCATCTGGAAAACAGAACATGAATATTCTGACAAAATCCTCAAATTTTAGCACAGCAACAGTTTGAAAAGGTTTATCCTTGGGCAGCAGAAGTGCACTTCTGCCATCAGAGCAGTTCAGAGGAATAATAATATAAAAACCATATCCTTTTCACTCCCATTGCTTACAGTGAAGACACTGAAGATGCAGCTAAACCACACAGGCAGATCCCAATTAATCCTCAGCCTTACCACATCTGTAGCCAGTTCAAAGCTGTCCTTTTAGAAGGGCCTGATGGCAACAGCAAACCGCAAAAAGTCCCTGGATCCATGGCTCTGGACATGCTCAGGGCACAGAGAACAGCAAGACCCCACTATGCATAGAAGATCTACATGCACCCTCCAACCCAGCCCCCCTCTCAGCTGCTCATTTTCACTCATTAGTGCTTCAATCTTTGACATGAGCGACTTCATACAAAAACAAGTGCTTCCTCTGGATGTCATGTGACTGCTCAGAACCTCCTTCTGCTTCCCAAGGGAGACTCCCCAGCCAGACAGTCCCTTCCAAAACTGTCCACACCCAACTCCACACATTGTGCAATCACCTCAACAGTGTTAATCCCCCAAGGACCTTTCAGTCACTTTTCTTATTTATAGTCTGAACCACGTGCGGCACACTGAATAAACAACATGCAAACAAAACTTAGAACCCACTGTGCCAAAGGATTTCAAACCAAGCAAACCCTTGCTGAGCACACAGGGTGCTGCTTAGGAGCCACCTGCCATCCTATAATGCAGAGGTGCATTTCCTACTCAGTTATGAGTTGGGAATGACTGACTCTAGGAAGGAGTCACCCAAATGTTATTTAACAGCTCTGCTCCCTCATATTAGGAGTTGTTCCCCATCCCTCTGGGGTTTAGATATGAACCACTTAGAAAGGTTTCTGATCACATATTTTATAATTTATCAGTGCTAGAGAACCTTTTGATTAATAGTGAGTGATGGTCACAGCAGCACAGGAGACTTCTGGCCCATGGTACCATGGCGGCCAGGCTGTTCCCATTTTCCAAAAGCCTCCACCATTTCAGCTCCTTAATTCTAACGACAGCTTGTTCTTTTCCCATCTGCCACCTCCCTCCTCCTGTTCTAGAGGAGAAATCAGACACCAACAGCAGAACATACTCTGCCCTTTAGCTTTCAGCAGCACCTAAAGAGATGTATATCTATCTATATGATATATATATATATCATATATATAGATATGAACTCAACTGGGACATCACTCATTTCCAAACTACATATGTTATATATTTTCATACTCGCACACACTTATACATTTACACTTACACATCTAAATGAGAAAGGTATAAACCTTATTTCTGGAAAGATAAGTTCTGAATGGAATGGTATTTTAAAGAGGAAAATTACTGCTGAATAAAAAGACACATAATTCTTTTTAGAAGAGAAGCAACACTTCTGCTATTAGGTGGTCAACTGAAAAAGCCTTAACATACAGATTCCCAAGTGGAAATGCCTATGTCAGTGTTGTCTGATGTGAAAAACCTCCAGGAATTAACACAGGGATTGTACCAACCACTTCAATGGAGATCTTTCTGATCCCGACACTTGGTTCAGCTTCAGACATTGTCACAAAGGACCAGACATGGGGCAGAACAGACAGTTGGTTTTGACTCCATCCAAGCTGCTTTTGCCACAAATGACAGCTGCAGGCTCTGCAGTGCAGGATTTATCTCTGCACACCCAGAACAGGGCTGATCGAGACAGGAACGCTCCTGTGGAAAGCTGAGGAAGAGCCCTTGGGTGCCTTCCCTCCCCTGGCAGCACCGACGGCCGGATCCCGTCCTCACCTTGCTGCTGCAGTTTGTAGTCCGTGGAGTAAGCCTTGCCTATGATGTTCCACACGGGCCTGAGGCACCCGAAGAGCCCCTCGAGGAAGCCGCCACTGCCGCTGCCCGACCTGTTGAACTGCACCTTGACATCGTCCCCCGCGCCGTGGCCGTCCCCGTCCCCTGCGCCCCTGGTGCCCTGGGGGAGGGGGGTGTCCGGCTCGTCCTGCTCCCGCAGCTGCAGGACGCTGTTCTCGAACTGGTCCCGGGAGTCCTCGCTGATGCTGGTGAGCACGGCCGCCGTGACCGGGCTGCTCACGCCCTCCAGCAGCTCCGCCTGCAGCAAACCCTTGTCCCGCACTTCCTCGATGAGCTCGGGGGACGGGTGGGTCCCGGCGGAAGCGTGCTCATTGGGGAACCGACCCAAGTCTTTGTCCTCACAGAAAGCTTTGCCCATGGAGTTTGGGGAGGAAGACAGGCCCAGGTGCTCCTGAGTGCTGGCCATGATGCTGTGAGTGTGCATCAAGGAGATGGGCCGAGCTGGGGCTTAGAGAATTTGTGCAACACAACTCAAATGCGACATGTGGACCCAGTACCTGAAAGGAGAGCAAAAAAAACAACTTTGAAATTTTTATTTAAGGATTTTCACCTCGTGCACTTTCACTGAGGCAAGCTGATAATTAACTAGATGTCCCAGACAACTGCTGATACTTGGCAAATAATTACTGCCCTAAAAGAAACAAATAAATAACTCCAACAGAAACTCCACTCAGGCAGTACTCTCGGTAACCTACCGCTGGAATTGCGAGGTAGACAAGCACCACGAGTTTTAAACAAGAGCCTAAAGGTCAAAATCATGAAAGACTCTTTGCAGAAGAGTTACTATAGCATTTATCAGACTGATGCTGACCCCAGGGGTTTCCCAGTTTAGGTATGGGTTGAATCCAGCTTCTGTTTCTGCTCTGGCACAGCCCACAAGCTCAGGATTCTTCTGCAAACCCTCAAGACAAGGCATTAGAGAACCAAAGCCACTACAGAACCCAACCAGCCACCTGAGTCCACCTAGGGATGGTTTGTAGCTGCTCCCTCTGAGCACCACCTAGTTATGACCATCCCAGATTTTTAGTCTAATCCTTTCAAATTTAGCAGTGTAGCAAAGATATTGTTCAATTCTCTAACCACATACATGACACCTTCAGAAATAAGACTCAGAGTTTACAGCAGACCCTCCTTGCTGGTCTCCCTCCTTCCACAAGAGCATCTCCTCCCACTGCTCTCTGCTTTCCCCTGCAGGAGCTCCTAGTAGGGTGCACACAAATTCAGAGCTCGGATCCCTTTTAAGAAGTCCCCCCATCTCTTGCTACGTGCTCCACTGAGAGACTCTTTTCCTACAACCCATTCTGATACCTTCCCACAGAGCCAGCTCCACAGCCAGGGGTCAGGCTGCGAGAGATGCCCACTGCCAAAACACTTTTTTGGGATAGAGTCACTTCACACAGTATTCTGAGTTGGAAGGGACCCACAAGGATCATCAACTCCAAGTCCTAAGTGAAAGACCCATACAGGGATTGAACCCACTTGTGAAACAAGAGGTTCTAGCTTTGTGCCAATAGTAATTAAGTTCATTCATCCCATAATGCAGAACAAAGTCTGGTTTTAAATTCCATGAGAAGCTGAGAGGTGGAAAAAAATAAACAGCATTAACAAAGTATTTTGTTCAAAAGTAAGATCAGTTACACTGGGTGCAAAGTCCCGGGCTCTGCAAACAGCCACTGAAAACAAGAAAGAGGTGGCCAGGTAGGACACAGCCAATGGAAAGGGAACAGCTCAGCCCAGTAACTGCTCAAGATGAGGTCATTGCAGAAAGGAGAGAGATAAGCCCTTCAGCCTGCCTTCAGGATGAAAAGCTCATGCCCTGGGCTTCAGTCCCTCTCTAGTAGAGGAAGCAGCAAAAGGGAACAGCCAAGAGCCTGTATTACATTCCTGTACTTCTTCCTGATCACACGGATTCTGCATAAAAGATTTATTACAAGGATATTATTTAGGCTGTAGACTTTGTTTTTAAAAGAAAACAAAACAGCAAGTGAGGCAAGAGTTGCAGCATAGCCCAGACAGTACAGGAGGTGAATGAGACTCATACTGGAAGCTAGAAGGTTGGTTATTCCTGACCTACCACTGAGCAGCATTACAAGGACTGATTCCTCAGCATGGGAAGCCACAGGGTGACCTCAGTAGTACAATTACTACTAGTAGTAGTGGTTCTATCATCACAGATTTTGTTGTTGGTGAGAAGAAGTTTCAGACCTGAACAGAATTTCAGAAAAACACCAAGCCAGGCCCAGCTCAACCTTCCTGGGCACTGCTCCTGCTCACTTCCAACATTCTGAGAGAAAGAAGTGATTCTTTAAACAAAGGCAAAATGTGACCAGCATTCCTATAGAGAACGTTTGGAACTTTTGTTAACACATAACACTAAGCAATGTAAATAAAATATCAGTCAGGTTTTCCTGCAAGAAATACAAAAGTAAGGGCAGAATTTGAGGTAACAGTGTCCCCAAAGTATCTCAAATCTAAGCCATGGGAAGCGCATTAAGGATTAAATCAGACTTGGAGGATAAAATCATTTTGCTTTTACCTGACTCTCAGAGTACACTGGTACAAGCCTAAGGTTTTGCTTTTACCTTTCTGTGCAGTTTTCTGATTCCGGAATTTAAGTTTGACAGGGAAAGAACAGTTTTTCACAACACAGTTTAGACATGGCTGTAACAGGCCAGCCAAGAACAAACCCCCAGACTCGGGGACATCAAATCTGCTTTCCCAGATCAAATTGCCTTCTCCAACCCTGAGATAATTTTCAAATAAAAAAAGCCTTTAAGCACAGTGCCCTGCCATCTTACGTGGCCCTGGATGGGGAGAGGAGGCAGGCAAAGGTCACAGACATATTTTCAAATTGGCATGATACAGCCTTATTTAGGCCCTTATGTAAGCAGCCTGATTTTCAGAGGTGTAGCAAACTCATTGTTTGGAGAGCATCAGACAGCACCACTTATTTTAAAACAACTTCATATCAAGTCAATGTGAAGCAAAACAGTTCAGAAACCCTGGTGGGGGTAGAAGGCAGTTTCTACCACCACACATCAGTGCCAACTTGTTGGGGAAATGAATTTTTTTAATTCTCTCCTATTACAGTAAATTCTGCAGTGTGCAAGCTCTTGCTTTGGCAAAATTCGATTCAACACACAAATAAATTAGGTTGTCTTCAGCCTCACCATCTCTTCACAGAAGGGAGGAAGAGCATTTTTCAAGGTCTATCATCATGCCTCCTCCATTCTTTTGGTCAGAGCACCAAAAGGTTAAGATTTTTCATGTTGAACTCTTCCCAATAAAAGAAATCTTAGTTTCATTCAAGACAAAGAAAAATGTTGTGTTTTTTTTTTTAAAGTTTGAAGTTTCATTATATCCAGAGTGTTTGCTTGTTTTCATAAGGGCACATAGAGACAGGACAAGGGGGAATGGTTTCCCACCGCCAGAGGGTAGGGTTAAATGGGACATTAGGGAGAAATTCTTCCCTGTGAGGGTGAGGAGGCCCTGGCAAAGGTTGCCCAGAGAAGCTGTGGCTGCCCCATCCCTGGAAGTGTCCAAGGCCAGGTTGGATGGGGTTTGGAACAACCTTGACTAGTGGGAGGTGTCCTTGCCCATGGCAGGGCGTGGAATGAGATGATCTCTAAGGTCCCTTCCCACCCAAAGTATTCCATGATTCCATGTTTATGATCTGCATGTGCCTCCTTAATTTTGCCAGGGAAGGGCAGAGCCAAGGGCTGTGCTGTTTCCATCTCAGCCCTGCTGCTGCTGTAGCAGCCTTCCAGTCAAAAGCTGGGAGCTCTGTGTGTGGGAGGACCGTGCATATTTAAGAGATTGATTTCACAAAGTGCTGCTGCACACACAGACTTCAAGGCAGGCCCTCTGATTTGAACTGTTCTGAGGAGTTCATGCACTCTGCACTAACAAATTATCTTACACGTGGAAGGAGATTTGAGGATCAGTGTAATTTTGTATGATCACAACTTCCAGTAAACAATTCCATTTCCAGGCAAAGCATTTTTTCCAGGCAAAACCCACCATGCTCAGACAACAAGAGCAGGAAGTGCATCTCTTCTGGGAAGACTGAGACTGCACCTCAACATGTCAGGCATCCCAAAATGCAATTAAAAACTATCAGAAAAGTGAAAGTTTACCCAAATCACTGAGTGGGTTAATCAGCTATCACAAGGCATGCTCTCACCTTGCCTGATACAGTGTCTGCCCCTGGAAACAGTCATCCAGAAAGTGTTCTAGGATGCATCCAGAGCCACCAAAGCATGTAGCTGCCTACACAAGCCCAGTATTTATAAAAGTGTCAAGGCAATGGCCAGGTTTGCAGAAACAGCTGATTTAATCCAATGCCTTGAATGAGTCGTAACTGAAGTTTCTTCTTTAAAGTTTCTCTTTCAAAGATCTGTGCTAAAAACTGAGTGGCAAATCACCATTCCAGATACAGAACAGAGACAAAAAGTTACTGTGCTGGAAAGGTGGTGTAAGTACAAAGTGTCTTAAACCTCCAGTAACACCGAGTTAGTTTCCTTGTAGCACTATTTCTGTATTACCCAGCGAAGTACATTCTCTTCCTGCACTTTCCATATGCAAAGGGAATAGAAGCAACTGTCTGATCCAAGTTTAAAGTCTGTAAAAGAGCAGCTGGCAGAAATCAGCTGGCTGGGCCACAGCACTACCAAGGACAGAGATTCCCATCCATATCACTATTTACACCCAGGTCCTGGAGTTCCTTGCTTTTTCCTAGTACTCAGTGTGATTTCCTTCTGGCTCCAGTGGGTAACAAGGTAACTGCACATTTCCTCGCTGATAACACAACTGGAATTTACGTGTGCATCACTTCCACTTGGGACAATGCCCAAAAACGCCTAAAAATCTAACAAAATCCACAAATAGCAAGTTTATAATAAGGCACAGTCATCCTGTTACACATCTCCCAGCTGAGTTCTCCTGCCCCTTGTGATTCTCCCTCAGTTTCTTTGGGGAATTTTTACAACAGGCTGATGCACAGTCCTCTCTCATCTCTGTACAACTCCAGCACAGGAACACACAGAGCTGCTGAGCTGGCAAATCCCAGAGCTTTGGTTGACACTTGTGACCTTTGGAGTTTGAATCACACCATTTCATCACACAGGACTCTAGCAAACTTTTTCTTTTCCCACTCTCCTGGTGAGGAAAATGCTGTATGAGTGGATCAGATATTCCTCTTCTGCCACACAAGTGATGCCTTCTTGCATCACTTGGAATACATGCTTATGTTTTGCATGGTTGTTTTGAAAACAAAAAGATTTATTAATAGAGAACGTGTTACACGTCACTACAAGGCAACCTATTTTTTTTATCAGAGGGGTTGGATTTTTTTTTCAAGTGACATTATGACATTAATTGATTACATTACATTTTATAAGTTACATTATCTGTTTTGTAAGGTTAAAAAAAAACAAAAACAAAAAACCAAATTACACTATGAAACTTGCCCATAGTAACTCAGTGCAGACCAGCCCAT